GGCTGCCTCCTGGAGCCGCACTACAGACCACCGTCATTTTAGAGGCAGGCACCTGTGCTCCAGCGATGACAATCAACCATGCCACCCTGAATTACAGCGTGCGTCTCAGCGGGTCCTCTTTACGCTGACAATTTACAAGAGCTTGAACTCGCTGTCCCAGAGGCGACAAGCTAACTTTACCATTTCCTCACGGCGACAACCTCTGTGCGGCCTCACCCCGCTGCTTCCCGTTGGGGGCAGTGAAGTCCGTGACGGTAATGACAGCCCAGTAGCTTCAGTGCAGGAAAAATCACAAACACTCAAACACATCCTAAACATGGGCAGTTGGTAGGAGCCGATTCCTCAATTCAACCTGTTCGGAGGCTTTCTGGGGCTAGCACAGCTCTGATCACAGGCTTGCGCTTTCTGCTCCCTGAAGGCGGCGAGGAGACGGGCTCTGCCATTCTGCAGGCTCCACTACGTGAAGTCTGCCCGGTGGCCATAGTGCCGATATTGGCCATTACCACAGCAATGCTGGCACAAGCTCAGAGCTTGGCGTGAGGAAGAACAGAGAAGGCCTCCTCATCAATGGAAGGCTAAGCCACGCACGGCCTCCCACGTGCACTGCGTGTCAATCACGGGAAGCAGGAAGGAGCTCTTAATAGTTCCAGTAAATGCAAAGGCCGCCCTGGAAAACTCATTAAGAAACTTTCTGACGACTCACAGGTGAGCCACTGCCTGAGACACAAGATAAGGAATTAATCTGAAACTGCATATTCTCACTTCGACTAATGTAATTATAGTAAAACTCAAAGTACTACATTAAAAGTAATAAGTGAAACGTGAGCTGACCACAGGAGTCCTGGAAAATTCACCAATGGAACATTGTTTGATGTCAAAACGAAACAGAAGAACCTTTGTTGGCGACCTGTTAATCACTTGAGTCCCTCCCCACATCTGAAGCTATATTACAAAAGTATTCCCAAGAAGCTAAAGCGTGAGCAGGCTGAACACACAAAGAAAAAAACCCGCCGTCTGCAGACCCACGACAAAGAAAGCAGCTAATGAGTGCCTGTGACATGCAAGTCAGGCTGGGTACAGCTGTGGCCAGAGGACACTCAGGGTTCCACTGTCAGACAGAAAGCAGGTGAGACTTTACCAGAGGCTATCCCAAGGTGCAGAGCCAAATGAGCAGTGGGTTTCATACTGGAGCCAATCCCAGCTGCCAGGCTCTGGGGCTCCTGGGGACAGAAGCTCTGTGACTGCACTCCTGGTGTGTGAGAGGCGGCAGCATCCCCCAAAGGAGCCTGGAAGTGGTGTTACCTCCATCCCTCATCATGTCTGCCCGATGTTACCCCTCCGCCCTGTTCCAGGTTACCCTCAATCCCCCACTCCCGGTGCTACCCTCTGTCCCCCCTCCCCCAGTGTTGCTCACCATCCTCCTCACCTCCGGGCCCCTCTCCCTGTCACCCCTCATTTTCCCTGTTCACCCAGAGCACGTCACGCTGACTCTTCCCTTTTCAAGAGGCTCAGCTATGCAGAGGCATTCCAGCCTATTCAGGACAGGACACACACCCTGGGGAAATGCACCTAACACAGAAGTCGGAAGGGCCTGAGACCCTCACTGTATCACCCAGGAAGGATGGAAGGCCTGCAGTCATGCTGCTGTGAGGCAGGATCAAAAACATCTATGTCAAAATATTATTTTCCACTAGAACTGTTCAGACCATTCGTGAAACGAATCAGTTAAATACCAGCAAGAGCCACATTCCCTTATTCTCTGGCTACAGTTTTCCACCCACCAGCAACCACACTTCTAGGAATTATCCCTAATGCAGTATCAACGCGCCTTGTACCTTTGGGAAAACCTCTTTCTCTCCAGCTTTGTCCTCCTTCCACAAAGGTGCACTCTGACTGCCTCACTCACCCGTACCAGGATTTGGCTCGGCTACAGAGGAAAATCTGCATGGGGCTCTAGAGTGGGTAGTCCCCTCAGGAGCAGCAGCTCTGTGACATCCTCCGAGCCTGGCCCAGGCCTGCCCACACACCAGGACTCTGCCTTCTGGCCCTCGGGCCCCAGGCTGCTTTCCCTCAGAGATCATGTCTCGGCGAGGCGGTTGAGCGCGGGCTGCTGTGGAGTCGGGAAGGTCTCTGACACCTCCCACTCCAGGACCCCCATCAGCATCCCAGCATCTGGACCTGTGTCACCAGCCGCTCTGCCGTGCAAGGGGTGGATTTTCAGCTGGGTGTGCTGCTTCCCTAAACAAAGTAGGGTGTTGTTGCAGGAAAAAAGGAAAAAGCTAGCATCTTCCTGTAACCCCACGACATCCAGCCACTGGTTCTCACCACCCCAGAGATGTCCATCCAGGGCAGATGGTATCTTCCAACCCCAGCGCCACTGACCCAGAAGTGCAGTAATTAGTACACTTTCACCAGAATCACCCTCCTTCACCTTTACACCCAAAGAGAAAAACAATGTTTGCCAGGCAAATTCGATGTCAGGAGGTGTAAAGGAAACTAACCTACTTTAAGCCTCAGACTTGCCCAGAGACGGTGAGGGCTATGCTAAAACAAGGCTGCAGCTCTGCTCCTGCGGGCCGTCATGACAATTACATATGTCATGGACCCTTCCAGGACTTCAAGAGAGGGACCTCAAGTAGTACATACAATGATGTACGCCGTTCAGCCTCGAACAGACCACGCCTCGTTACAGGGTCAGTGATCCACCTCCTGCCATCAGCTCCCCCACCTCACGAGGTCTGCATCTACATCTGTCATAACTTTGCTGTTTTACCCGGGTAGTACTAAAATGCAGCATCGGAATGTTTTAAAGGTCTTTAAATATCAACCTCCGGGTGCAGTTCTTAGCACTTTAATGTGAGGTCACTCGATGCAGGCCTCACTCCACAACTCTGAGTGGCTCATGCCTTTCCTACTAACCAAGGGAAGAAGCGAAGGCATGGAAGGTGCAGCTCCTAAGGAGCAGATTAGGATTCAAACCAGTGATCTTCGTCACATGCTGAGCTACCTCCAGGCTGAGATAACATTCAAAATTAACCAGAGTCAGAACAGGCGTTCATAAATCAACCAGAAGTAGTCTTGTGGATGGGCCTAATGATTTATTCCCTGAAGAACAAGACCATTGGCCAAAATCCACCTGTGTCACACTCAAATGTTTACATATCAATTATTTTTAAAATAGCAATCAAGCATGTTCACAGCCATTTAGAGCCATACAAATTGTCTATAGCACAGCACAATCAACCCAGACCTCTGTCGACAAAGGGCACGGTGCCAGGTCAGAGAAGGTGGGACAGAGACACAAACAGGAACGCTCTGTTTCTTTGGGAGCCTCGCTCCTGATGGGCCCTTGAAGACATGGCGCAGGCAATGGGGCACAGGCAGAGGCTGGAGAAATGGAAGGCTGCATTGCAGGAGAGCAGTGCTTTGAAGCTCTAATGGATGGAACACTGCTAACCGCGAAGGTGGAGAGAGGGCAGCCGTCTGACAGGACAAGAGGCAGCAAGCACAGTTAGCCTCGGGAGCCGGAAGCCACAGGACATCAGGCTGGGTGCTGCTGTCTGCTCAGCCACCCGGCTGGAGACTGTACTGGGCCTGGAGGGACATCACAACACTCACTGGATGCAGGAGCACCCCAGCCCCAGGTGAGAACCACGGATCCCATGGTGAATGAGGACAGCCTGTGGAAGTAGAGGCTGGGACAGCTCTGCAGCTTAATAGGAAAGTTGGGTTCTATTTACTCAAGTTCAGTGTGTGCATTCAGTGCTATCCATCAGGAAGTGATTTGGTTAGATTAGAAGAGGGCTGCCAAGGCCAGCTGGGCATTCGCTGCCTGAGTCAGAAAGCAAGGCTGGCGATGTGACAGTGTGGGGAGCACAGAGGAAGGAACTGGTGGAGACACAGGACCCCCAGCTCCGCACAGGGCCACGAGCAGCTACCGAGGAATCGTCTATTAATTCTCCTTAGGGTCAAAGGCGGCTGTGAGATCCCTCTCCTGAGGACAGAACTGCTCCAGAGCCACACAGCGAGATCCAAAGAACCAGATCCTGACCAGCTCCAAAGTGGGCGATCTTGACCCTCACCCCGTGGTCCTGAGGCAGGGATCAGAGCCCCCTGGACACAGACCCTCCCAGGAACTGCAGGAAGGGGAAGCAGGCGCCCCGGACCAGCGGCAGGACCCAGGATTTCTGCCCTCCAGGCTTTGGCTGGATGTTAGCCACTGCACAGGGTGGACACACGGTGCTTTAACCCATGCTGGGGAAAGGAGCCCTCGCTGTCAGGATGGAAGGTGGAGACCCACCCTGATGTCAGGATAACTCTCGCCCAACCCGCGCTGGGGAAGGAGCCTCACTCTCAGGGTGCAGACGGCAGGCTCGATCAGGCTGGCCTCCTACTAGGCACAGCCTGAGCCACATGACAGGGAAGTCCAGAGGATTACCATTGTACACCTGGCCCAGCTTCCAGCGGCCCCCGACCAGGCCACTACCCTCACTCCAACAGCCCGGTCCATCACCAGCCCACCCTCTTCTGCCAGCCTGCCCCCACCAAGGCCCCCTCCTCTCTGCAAGTCCCACCCCAGGCTCGCGCTTGCCTGCAGCCAGCCCCACTAGCTCCACCCCATCGCCTGCAAGCCCCACTTCCCCAGGGTGGCTCAGCCGCCTTGCGAGGGCTTCATCTCTGCCTGCAAAAGAGCCACCCCTTGCTAAGCGCCTCAGTGTGGGGAAGTGGGTGGTGAAGAGCAGTTAGGGTAGTGAAATGACTTTGTTTGTAGCGTAAGTGGGTGTCATTTGCTCATCATGTCAATACTCTTTTGTATCACTTGCTCCCCGGAGCAGGTGTTGCCCTTTGTCTCACATCTACTCTGTAAGTGTTGCCGTTCTTTTGTTAATAGGGTGGTGGCCGTCACAGCAAGCCCCGCCCGCCCTGCGTCGCGTTAGAGTGGGGTCCCTCGCCAAGCCCGAGCTGGTCTTACGCCATGTGGCGCTGTAGCGCCGGAGGTTGAGTTCTCTGAGGCGGCTGGGCGGCGGGTGAGCGCTGCAGTCGGCAGCTGGGGTGCTCGGCGTGCTGGCTCCCGGGAGAGAGGTCAGGGCGGGCCGGAGACGTAGGGGTCCTGCGCCCCAAGCCTTGCGGCTCCCCCACGCCTTGGGCGCCCCGCACCCCGAGGCCCACCCGGGCTTTGCCAGGCTCCACATCCGGGGTTCTGAGGCCGGAGGACCCAGGGCGATGCCCCGGAGCTGGGGGCCGGGTCTGCCGTGGCCGCTCACCAGCGGGGCCACTCCTTGGAGTGGGCTTTGTGGGGTAGTAAATGGGGCCGGCAGTTGCAGTTCTCGCTGGTGTCTTTGCTCCTAGTTCATTTTTTGTTGGAGGCCGAGTCATGGGGGCCGAGGCCCACGGCCCACTCTCTTACAATCCGGCTGTGTTCAGAGAACTGAAGCCTCCCGGAATTTAACTTTTTTTGGTTTTTTAACAGCATAAGTTTATGGGGAAAAAACTGACGAAGCGGTTTAGTGCTCATGGTAATCCACGAGCCCGTATTTAATGTAACAGTTCAGCGCTGCCGGCCCGGAGCCTGAGAACGCAGGGCGTCCGTGGCGTGATTTGGCGGCAGGTTGCTGGAAAGTTCGAAGGAGACCTGGCCTTACCGCTCATGGGTTTCCTATCATGTCCTTGCTCATAAGTAACTTCTTAAAATGCGTCTCTGTCCCATAATTCTGAAATTTTGCTAAATCAGTAAGCAAATGTTGACTACTATATCTTCATAATGTTGACAGTGACTGAATAGGTGTTTCTTTTCCCCTGTATATATCTTTAAAATATTTTGGTAGGATATATTAATGTAGAAAAGCCATAAGACATATAGTACAATTTGAGAAAATAAAGTGTTTTTAGAGACAGGATCTTGCTCTGTTGCCCAGGCTGGTTTAGAACTCCTGGGCTCAGGTAGTCCCCCTCCTCAACCTCTCATGCTGGGCTTACAGGCGTAAGCCATCTCATCAGGTGAGAATAATTAGAAAAGAAATGGTTGGTAGCATTGGCTCACGCCGACAACACCCGGCATGTTGAGAGGCCAAGGCGGGCGGACCACTTGAAGTCAGGAGTTTAAGACCAGCCTGGCCAGCATGGTGGCTGCCGCGTCCCTACTAAAAATACAAAAATTAGCTGGGCGTGGTGGTAGCACTTGTCGTCCCAGCCACTCAGGAGGCTGAGGCAGGAGAATTGCTTGAACCCAGGAGGTGGAGGTTGCAGTGAGCCGAGATTGCACCACTGCACTCTAGCCTGGGCAACAGAGCAAGACTCTTGTCTCAAAAAAAAAAAAAAAAGTATCCGCATGACCAAACTGAAGATTTCCCCTAACTGCTCATAACCCACTCTCCCTCACTTAGATTAGCACTATCATACAGAAATGTCCTTGCTTTTAAAATATTTTACCATCTCTGCATTCTGACAGTATCTTGTTACCTGTTTGAATAATACCTGTTTAGGATAATACTGTATCGTGTGTATCTTTTTGTTTAACATTATGTGACCTTCATCTTTGTTATATGCAGTTGTAGAGCACTTTTGTTGGTTAGTTTTTAATTGAATGATTAGTCTGCAGTTTTATCCATTCGCTGTCATTACACACTCCGGGTGAGTTGAGTTTAGGATATCAGGTTTGTGCTGACAATCTTGTCTGTAGATACAGTGCAGCGGTGTAGGTGTGGAGGATGTAGACAGAGGTGAGCAGTTTTCAGTATTCAGATTTTTTTTTTTTTTTTTTTGGCGCCCAGGCTGGAGTGTAGTGGCGTGATCTCGGCCCACTGCAACCTCCCTTCCGGTTTTCAACGATTCTCACCTCAGCCTCCCAAGTATCTGGGACTACAGGCACCTGCCACCACGCCTGGCTAATTTTTGTATTTTTAGTAGAGACTGGGTTTCACCATATTGGCCAGGCTGGTCTGGAACCTCTTCGGCTTCCCAAAGTGCTGGGATTACAGGTGTGAACCACCATGCCCTGCCTGCTTGGCTTTCTAAAGAATGCCAAGTGTTTTTCCAAAGTTGTTCCACTTTGCTCCCTGTGGGACAGGTAGCAGTGTCGTAGCAGTATAAGAGCATTGTGACTGGCAGTGTTAGAGGCTCCTGGTAATATTGGAGGCTTTTTTAAAAGTTTTCACCAGTTCGGTAGGCATGTAGTAAGGATTTAACTGTGAGTGTGTGAATTTCTTCCAATATTTTGAAGGCTTGTGAGGATTCTGTGAGGAAAAGAAGCCCTTTTGTTTAAGAGTTTCTTAAGAGGGGAATTTAAACCATAATTGTATTATAGTTATTTTGAACATGTATAAAGAAAGGTTTCCAACACTGAAGCTTTTAGGTAAGATAAAAGGTCATTAAAATGGGAAGAGTCTTACCAGAAATTAGTTTTCTGGAATGTGCAAGATTTTGGAAGATGCAGTATTTAATTTTTATCTAATTAATGATCTTTATCATGTAAAGTATTTTCACTATGTAGCTGAATAATGTTAGCCAGATAATTTTCCTGCAGCTCATCTAACTTAGATGACCTTTAGTCTAGACATGCACACCACAGAGCGTGGCGATGGAACAGTAACCGGAGCTTGTGAGAGGGCTCTACACTATCAACTAGGAGACAGATCCACGGATTCACCATAAACCAGGTATGGGTCCTTCTGCGGCACCTCCTCGCCGTCCACATACATTGCAGGTGTGGTTTCTGGCATAGGTACGGGCCCTTTAGGGTGGAGACTAGCCTTGTCCTCGTGTCCCAAGGCCTGGCCCAGCTCCTGTTATGATGGCTACTTTCGGCTGAACAAAGCTTGTGAGAGAAATGACCCCCGGTCCCTTCCTGGAATCCCTTGACCTGATTCTTGTCAGATTTGAGAGAGTAACACTTCCCAGCTGGGTCTGTCATCAGACACACTCCAGGTTTCTGCATGGAAACCTGATGATTGGCTGAGTGTGAGCACGAGACTCAGTGCCCTGATCTGTTTGGTCAGTTTTTGCCATCAAATAGTTTGCTCTAAACCACTGCAGAATCTTTCAGTTTTCCTGAGCCTTTTGGGTTTCAAAATTATAAAGAAGAAATTGTGGACTTATACTTACTTGGGTTTATATTAAATGGATTCATTTGTTTGTTATTGCTTAAGTCTTTTCCTTTTTTTTTTTTTTTTAGCATAGTAACTAAAATGACCACCTTCCCTGTTATTAGCTATTGGCTCTGTGCTATGCTTGATATTGCTAACCAAATTTAAAAAACAACTTACCATCTGAAAGACTGATGCACAGCTGTGACTGGGAGAGCACATAATTGATGCCGTACGGAGGCCAGGACAAGGGTGGGGAGCGCTGCTGCTGCTGCTGCTGCTGCTGCTGCTGCTGCTGCTGGGGAAAGGAAGAGCTCTCTGGAGGTGGTGTGAAAGCAGCTGCCTCTGGGCAGGGCTCCAGCAAAGGAGACAGAGCGCAGTGACTAGGGGTCCCAGGCAAGGTCCAGGCATGGGAGTCCTGACGAGACTCAGAGCATTTGTGAAATCCTGCAAAGTGAGGCAAAGACACCTCACTCTGGGTGAGTCCTTATTAATAGTAGCCAGTACTATAAACTCACTCCTTTATTTTCAAAATTTTATAGAAATGTAAGAAATGCGAGACTGGTACTCACCATGTCACCCAGGCTGGAGTGCAGTGGAAACAGGATGATCGCAGGCTCTGCAGCCTCAAACTTCTGGGCTCAAGCGATCCCTCTGCCTCAGTCTCCCAAAGTAACTGGGACAGGGTGCCCCACGCCTGGCTCATTGTGTGTGTGTGTGTGTGTGTGTAGGTGGAAACTTGCTGTTGTCTAGGCTGGTCTCAAACTCCTGGGTTCAAGTAATCCTCTTGTCTTGTGTATTAGTCTAATCTCACACTGCTGAAAATACCCAAGACTGGGTAATTTATGAGAATGACCTAAGAGTAAAGGAGTTTAATTGACTCACAGTTCTACATGGCTAAGGGAGAGCCTCAGGAAACTACAATCGTGGTGGAAGGCACCTCTTCACAGGGTGGCAGGAGGAGAGAATGACAGAGTGAAGAAGCCCTTGCAAACTGTCAGATCTCGTGAGGAGCGTGCCTCACTGTCACGAGAATAATATAGGGAACACCGCTCTCAGTTAATCACTACACCGAGTCCCTCCCACAACATGAGGATTGTCAGGAACTACAATTAAGATAGAGTTTGGTGGGCGCAGCCCAAACCATATACTCACCTTCAGTTTTCAAAGTGCTGGGATTAAAGGTGTGAGCCACTGTGTCCAGCCATGGGAAACTTATGATAAGTCATGTTTCTTGTTTGAGAAATAGCTACCATGAGCGCTATTATTATTAAAGCTATATATTGTTAGAAAGCAGACATCTCCTGTATCTGCTAGTTTTAAATGCATTGATCATCTGGTACAAAGTACGGTAAGCTTGGAAGCGAGTAATTTAACAGCGGTAGATGATGCAGGTCGTGGTGTTTATGTCCATGATGCTGGATTGGATGTGGGCTCCTGGGTGGGCTGAGGAGACCCGAGGTCTCACCTCTGCCAACGACTTGCTGTGTGTGCTTGGCCAGGTGACTCATGGCACCACAGGGCAGAGTGGGTAGCAGAGTATTGTGATCACAGGGGCGTGAGTATGTGATTGGCAGGGGAGAGGGCAGCTGGCATGACTGAAAGAGAAGACAGTTTCTTTCATGCAGTATGGACACTTGCAGGAGGCTTACCTAAAGTAGGTCGAGGGCCAGAGTATGGAGCCACTGCCTCATCTCAGAATAATACAACTTACTGTCCTAGGACAAAGGGGAAATGAGGCTTGAGACTCAATAATTTAAACTGAAATCTGTTATATTTTACAATTTCACTTTTCATTTGTACCAACTAGTGATTATACTCTGTATCCATTTTCCACAAAATCCCAAGGACCTTCAGAATCTCCTCTAAATTGTATTTGGGCGCCACCTTTTCCCCATGTTTGTACACGAGTGGATTTCTGGTATGTCATGAGTGATTAACTGATTGATGCAGACTTTAGTATTTGAGTCACTGTCAGCTTATAATTATTTGTCCTCAGGCAGGAAGGATGGCGGCTGGAACACGAGTCTAGCGACCCCAGACACCCTTGGTCTTTCAAAGGAGTAGATGTTTGAGTGAGATGAAGGGAGGGTTTGTAAGTTTCTTTCTTTTAGTATTTGTGTTATTACACCCACATGTACAGAACCATGATACAGACACATCTGGAAGGTGGTTGGATTTTTATATAATATTTTCATTATAGGTGACATGTTCTTGGATTAGCTGAGTCAGTGCAGGCAGAAGCCAGGGGGATTAGCAGGGCCAGGATGCTGTCTCAGACCATGTCTGTGACCCCGTGTATGATCTTCAAAGCGAGGAGAAAGCTCTTTTCATGCCACTGTCAGCACGTTATCTTTTTCCTCATTCTTACCCAAAGTACAAGTATACACCCTAAGCTACGTAAGCAAAAATTATGTAACCACCTCCTCCCTCTAAGACAAATCGAGAAATCAAGCCCTCAACAGAACACTGAGGATTTTACAAAGGCAACACAGCATCACTCTAAGTAGTCAGTTTTTACTTTGTTATGAGAAATATTTTTCAAAACATATTTATATTATCATATAATGATGGCTTACATAATTAGTTTTAAATATCTCAGCTTTAATTTAGAATATAGAAAAATTATATAAACACACAGAGGCACCTACACAGGCAAAAAAAGCCCACATAATCAAAAGCTGCTTGAGTCCTCAGCTAAAACCCATTTATGCCTCGTGTTCCATTATTGGAATCCTAAACATGGGAGTTATTTATATCCTACAGCTCAGGGAGTCATTGCCAAGGTCTGAATTTTACAAAAATTGCAACCTCAGGCATAAATGGAGTTAATTTTCAGAGTGTAAAGGAGCCTTGAGACCATTTGGATCAAACTGCTGTCCTGGGCCCGATGTCTTCATGTCCCTTGTGACTTTGACCTGCCTGTGCTGGTGTCCCTGGGGCTTGTGGGTGGCCTGCTCTCTGACTCCAGCCAGCCCCCCTCGCTGGTGAACTATTTACCCACCTTTCATTCTCAATTTGGTAGTCTTTTCTTCAAGGAGCCTTCTTAAAACTCAAGTTAGGGTGAAACATCTACGCCCTCCTGGCTGGTGGAGCCGAGACCTGTTGATCCCTCCAATTTGCAGCACACATCAAAAGTCATTGTTCTCAATCCTTGGGTCCTGTGCATGGGTGATGAGTGATTGAATCTACAAGTGTTAAGTACCTGCAGGAGTGTCTTTTTTATTTACCATTAGAACAGTTTTATTGCAAGTATTACAGGCATATGCAGAATGTGATCAATTGGCTATATTGTAAGTAATGTATGTGTGTATTATTTAAATATATATATTCTTATTTATTTCACATTTCAAGACAGACAATGAGAGATATTCCCAACACCTTCCAAAATAGACTTCTTCCCAGCCACAGTACTCAGTGGTCTCAGGGGAGTGACCCTGTGCATCGAGCTTATGTGGGAGGAAGCTTAAGCAATTTCATGCCACTCACCTCCACCCAAGCTGTGCTAGACAATATTTTATTGGAAAAGTTGATAGTGGATTATTAGAAGAATTAACTTGTGTGTGTTCTTCCAATTTCATGACATGGTGTCTCTCATTTAGCAATGCTTAGCTTGAGCCTCTCCTTGGCATGGGAGAAGTGCTCTTCCGATAGTGGATGCAGTCACAGAACCTTCATCACATCCTCACTTTCTGATCTATAAACATTTCTTATGTCACTAGTATAAAGGTCATTATAGTAATAATATAGTTATACGTATCTATAAAACACTAATAATTTACATATAAATGCTAATGTAAAAACTTATATTTAGGGATTTAGTTTATATAAAAACAATTATGAAAACTTTCAAATTATCACAGAAAGTAGACTAGGATATTGAGCCCCTAAACACTTATCACATAATAGATATCCTTTTCCTTGCTGAGATTTTGGATAAATTATAAATGTCATCATTTACCACTAAATATTTGAATTTGTGACCTGAAAACATGATTTTTCTTACATGAAACTAATACCATTTCAGTTTTTAATAGAATAAAACATACTTTCCTTAAAACTGCCTATTTCTTATTCCATATTCCACATTTTCTAGTTGTATTTAGTGTGTTGCTACAAGTCCCTGATCTCTCAGTCAGCCAGATTCTCCTGAGCACCCTCTCTCGGGGGCGGCAGAGGAGTGTACTGGGCGGGTTTCCTCAGAGCGCTCTCACTTTCCAGGTGTCCTGGCTGCTCCTGTGTGGTGTTGGGTGCCATGTTCCTGTGTTTCCTGAGAACTGGAACTTAGATCAAAGCCTTGAATTTGAGTCAGGCTGCGCCTTTGCATGAAGTCCTCATTAGAGGATTCTGCATTGATAGCCACATCCATCGCGTGTGAGGCCTGCTTGCCTCCACCGGGAGTCTCACACCAGCAGGAGTGCATGCTGAAGTGACCTGTGCATGCAGATCTAACTTTCTCCCTTCCAGCCACAGAACATCTGGTGCACTTGAGTTTCTAATTGTCCTGCTGATAATTCCTCACTCAACTTTAATAATGGTTTTCATATTCATTGAGATTGACCCTGAATCATTTA